GCCGGCCGTTGTGCCAGCATCCCTCCCGGCGGGGCAGCGGCGCTCCGGCCGGGCCGCCTGCCTCCTCCCGCTTAAACGTGCGATGCTGGCGAGGGCTGAGGTGCAGTCCGGGTGGCAATAACCTCTGCTTGGCGCAGGCTCTCCTTCCAGAGCCAGTTCGCCTTGTTCTGCTCTTCTGCGGCGTTATAATACCGTTTCATAAGGTTTTGGGGGTTGCTTTTTTAAGAGGACGTCATTTCTAACCTACAGCCATATGTGTCTATATAATAGGCCAGATTCATCCTTGGCTGATACATAACCGTAAATAATTTGTTCAGGTCGATCTCAGCTTAACTTTCTTGGCCCCGTATCTTCTCTTTCTTTGTGTATGCTTTTAAATGGGCTTCTCCCTCCGTGCCTTTTAGCTCTGGGGATCAAATTCTTCTCTTGGTTGCACAGAGGTAAAAGCAGAATACTTATGTGGGTAGAAGTATCATTGCTGGGTTGAGAGTAGAAAGAAGGGTGGAACTTAACCTCGTAATAGTGCTTTCTAGCTATTAAATATATCACGGCTGTCTTTGTAAGAAATATGCTATTCCAAATAAGGTTATATGGATTATTTCTCTTGGTTGCAAGTCTTAATCAAAATCAGCTGACTCTAAACACTGTCTTAAAACCACAGCTAGTCAGCAGTCTTGAGAATCTCTGCTTTTAATTCAGCTTTGATGTAGCTTCACTGACTTTGCTGTTGTTATACTCACACAGCGGAATATGTGTCAGTAAGGTTTGATATTCCTTTTCTCCAATCTCTATAAAATAGTGCATCATTTGAATAATACCTGTTTTACCAAGGGTAGGATTCATCTCGCGTAACTTTTCGCAGGTTAGCTGGCTAGTCTAAAGCAGTATTCTAGGTTTTTTCTGTAGTCATCTCCTGAGAATAATTTGTCTTGCCTTGAAAGATCATGTCCAGAGAAGGGCAACGAGGCTGGTGAGGGGTCTGGAGAACAAGCCTTATGAGGAGCGGCTGAGGGAACTGGGGTTGTTTAGCCTGGAGAAAAGGAGGCTGAGGGGAGACCTCATCGCTCTCTACAACTACCTGAAAGGAGGCTGTAGCGAGGTGGGGGTTGGTCTCTTCTCCCAAGTAACTGGCGAAAGGACGAGAGGAAATGGCCTCAAGTTGCGCCAGGGGAGGTTTAGATTGGACGTGAGGAAAAATTTCTTCACCAAAAGGATTGTCAAGCACTGGACGAGGCTGCCCAGGGAAGTGGTTGAGTCCCCATCCCTGGAGGTATTTAGAAGACGTGTAGATGTGGTGCTTAGGGACATGGTTTAGTGGTGGACTTGGCAGTGCTAGGTTAATGGTTGGACTTGATGATCTTAAAGGCCTTTTCCAACCTAAACGATTCCATGATTCTCTGGATAGGCTGGGTTTCTTTCAAAGCACTGCTAATTCTCCACTGTCAATAGGGGAGCCCAGGAGACTGGCATACAATAATTGCCTGTGTTTCAGATGGTTACAGTTAAATGAGATGAATCCCACTTTAAGGTTACAGTGGTGTCCTGACTGTATACCTACTGTACCACGCTTTGTCCAGCCCACAGCTAGAGATACTCCAGCCAGCCAAGCTGATGAACAAGGCTGTTCAGATGGTGCTTGGAAGCACCATCGTCTCAATTTCATGTTCTAAATCTCAGTTCATCATATTAGCCTGCCCTCCTGCTCGTGGTGGTTTTGGCATATAAGCCCCAAGTACATAGCTTATGTGTTACTTGATGTTTTATACCCTGTGATGCACCCTGTAATGCATAACTTGTTATCGTGTTAATTCAGACTAAAGAGGTCAGAAAGCCAACTAAGATATTAGCCTCAGTTTCTGTCTGAATCCCCAGTTTCTAGCTTTCTGGCAAGGATGTTCCTTAATAATTGGTCTTATTTATACATTTAAGTTCTTCTGAGCCTGGGCCCTCCCCTGGCCAACGTTACTTGAGAAATCAAGGTTAGCTGCTTTAATATGCCATTGGCACCTAACTGAGCCTGGAAAATCCTCCCCTAGCTTTTAGTGCCTTTGGCAGTACCTAGAGCAGGTAAAATGGAAACGGTAATTCTGTTTTCCAGTGGCAAGAAAATAATTTAAGCCTTCTTTTCCTCTCAGTATGAAAATTTTAGGGGGAGCTACCAGGTTCTTCCAAGAACTCAGTGTATCACTGCTTTACTGTTGCCCGATGCTACAAAATTAAACTGCCTTTGTATGTGAACATTTTTTTAAAACCCTTCCCTGCTAATTAAAGATGCCCTTGTTAGAGCTGTCTTGAGTGAAAGGCATTAGAAATGTGAATGCAAGTGGAATTTTTCACAGTGTCAAACTAAGACTTTATTTGAAAAAATGATAGCAAAAACATTCTGAGAATTTTAAGGTTATAATCCGTGAAGTTTTGACAGTCCTTTTGCACTTACAGAATATAAATGCATATATAATGCACACATATATAGGGAAAGTTACATAAGGAAAATATTATTTGGTCTAAGAGCTAAATAGGAGCCAAGCTGGGACCTTCTACCCTAAACCAGACCCATTCCTGTCTTGCATATTAGTGATTTGATAACGCATAGTCAAGACAACTGTCAGCCTAGCATTTTCCTCTTAAAAGATAAACCTGCCTAGCCACACAGGTCAATCAGAGAAAATAAAAGAATAACCTTTTATAATTTTAACAGGACGGACATTTCCAAAGAAGGGTCAGACGTGTGTGGTGCACTACACAGGTAAGGCATGTTCTGAATATTCTCTCGATACCAACTGCCTTGCGTTCAAGAGTGATTGCCATTTCACATGTGGTTGTATTTTTCTTTTGCTTTGTTCTGTCACTCGTAATCCCTTCAATTATGTTCTGATGGTTTTCCTGAATATTTCACTTCTAGCTGAGCAGTTCAGGCTACAGTATCTAGATGTGCATGCTAGTAAATTTGCCAAGTGTAGCATTCAATGGTGAGAGGTTCACAGATGAAGCTGTGGACCTGATTCTTTAAGCCGTTATACTAGCTAATGAAATCGAGCATGAAGCAGTGAAAAATGCTGTGTTCATATTTTTCCAGCCTCTGATCTTAATACAGACAATTAATGATTGTATATATCTTAAAAGCATGTGTCTATGTATTGGCAGTAAAATTCATTCCAGATTGAAGAGATCAATACAAGGTCTATTTAACACCTGCTTTATGGACTTGTATGAATCTTAAGTGGCGAGTTGGTTAATGGAGCTGTTTTACCTTTGCACGGAAGGAAAATGTCCTTTAAATCTGTTTGTAACATTATGTTTTGTATATAGTTATGTAAATTGTCAAAAGAATGCAAAGATCTCTGCAGTCCGAGTCCCCAGCTGGGAAGTTCACATCAAGAGCTGCCATTTTCTATGGAACATGGTCGGAATGTTTCTGAGTAAATAAACTAATGAAGTAAACCTATTTGTATTTTCAAGAAGCTTTTTGATACAGTTTTAATAATATCACTCCTCAGAAGGTTATATGGGAGTTAGCACACTGGCTCGGAATATATGATGTCTGGATTTAAGCTCCTATACGTTTGTATATTCAGAGTATTTGATCTGATGAGGATTTCTAGTTTGAACTGGGAGTTAAACACATAGGTCTCCCATGCCAATCTCAGCTCATACAGACATTCCTCTGTAACTTAGGTCTGAAAATAGATGTTTTGAAACTATTTTTGTGAAGACGCTGAAAGATATGTTTCTGTTCTGGTCCAAACTTCAAAAGTTTTTATGAAATAAAATTGCCACCTCCCACCCCCAGTTAGTTCCAGATAAATTTAAATGACAGAACTGAAATAGGCAAAAAACTTGGAGGTCTGTGGCTCCCACAAAGTACAGTTCTGCTGGATAACTTCGGAGAGAGTGTGAACACTGAATGTGGAAAGATAACAAGATGCTGCATACTTTTATTGATATTAGATAACGTCTTAGATGAGGCTATCATAAGCTGGCTTTTGGCATAAAAGACTTTATGAAAAAATCATATCTCATTAAATCAATCTCCAGCGTGAACTGTGCTTCCTCCATATATCTTGCTATTGGTGCTATGCAACCTCTCTAACTCCCAGATTAGAACAAATATCAGAAAAAGCTCATCGCCTCAGTTCCAGCGCTGTTGCAATGTTTAAGCAGTCTTTGGTGGTAATATTTTTAAAGGGAGCCCATGGTTAGTGAATAAAGTGTTTTCTTCCAGTGGTCTGTAGTCATGTGGGAAAGATGAAATACGAATGTCAAGTTTTATGGAATCATAGAATGGTTTGGGTTGGAAGTGACCTTAAAGATCATCTAGTTCCAACCCCCCAGCCATGGGCAGGAATAAAACTATTTTATCTGAATACAATATAACTTCTTTTTATACTGATGCGATTCTGGATATGCCTGAGATTCATCTTGAAATGATTTCTGTCTTAGTTATATGATCTCATTAGACCTCGCTGTACTTAATGGTTATCCTCACCACACTCCTGCGAGTCCTGCTTTGGGAAGTGGGTAGCTCAGTTACAGAGATGTCCGCAGAGATATCCAGAACATCTGTCTTGTCACCTAAAATGGGAGTTAGGAAAAATTAAGACACCTAGGTGCAAAGAAATGATCCAGAAGTCCTGCTTTCCAGAGCTGCTTAATATTGGGAGCATGTAAAACTCACAGGTTGTCTCCATGTTCAGCCTACGTGTCACTCTGGAGCTAGGCACAAATACCTGTAGGGAGGCGTTGCAGTCTGGGAAGTGAGGGAACCATGCAGTGACTGGACTCCGCCAAGTTTTAGAGATCATTTGGGTCCCGAGAGGAGCCCGACCTCACTGGAGTGCTCTGGGCACAGCTCTGAACCCAGCATCAAGCAGAGCAGTGACAGCCACTTTCAGTCAAAAACATGGCCTGTGGGAGCCCACTTTATGTATCATAACCGAACAGTTCTTTCAGACATAGCAGACCTATGCTCAGTTGCCTTTTCCAACAGAAGAGGGTCATAGCTCTATTACGCCACATCCTTAACTGCAACCTTTACGTTCTTGGGGAGGAGAAAGCTGAAATTTCCGTCTCCCTAAGGTTTAGCTTGGGACATTCAGCAGTGAAGAATGCAAGAGCCGTGGGCAAGAAAAGGAGCAGGCAGGAGGGTGAGTAATTGGTTCAGACACTCATGCAGGAGTATTGAAGGAGTTGTATTCCAGTCCCTGTCTTCAGGGATTAATTTTGTAGCTTTTTTTTTTCTTTTAATCCAATGATTTTCCCGTACGGTGGTGCCTAGTCTTGACAGCTTGGTAGGCCACGTAACTTCTTGCAGCGGCCCTTCCGCTGTCTTACCAACGCACACACTACGTGGCGATACAGCTCCTTAGCACAAACATAGTTGGTTCCATGATTCCCTGAAGGGCTAGGGTTTTTGCGCATGCATAGGAAAAACATTGCCTGTCCACTAATTATTCACGTCTCGAGAGTTTCCAGCGAGGAGGAGGAGGAGGCTAGAAGAGGCTTGCTTCTGCCAGAGCAAGTTACGAATTTTTAAGGAGGCTCAAGCGAGGAGTGGGTTGTGGGTTCTATTTTGTCTTACTTCCACATCTTGCCTTCCCTCTCCAGGAGTCTCACAGATGTGCATTTACCATATCATGGGGCGTGATGGCAGAGAGCATGGACAGGAGGGGACTGCTGGTACCACAGGAGTAAAAGGCCTGTAGCTTGCATCTGAAGTGTCTTCAGGAAAAAGGTTTTTAGGAGCAAGTTGTCTGCATGAGTTGTCCTGCCAGTCCATGCAGGAAAAGTCCAGAGAGGACCAAAGGCTGGTACCCTAGATATTTGGCAGAACTTTAGAGTCCTGTCTGCTCAACCTCCAGGATCTTATGATTCATGCATCGCCAAGGTAGGGATTCAGCAGGGTAGTTTCTAGTCTGATGACCCTGCATGTTCCGGAGAAGTGGGAAGTGAGAACTGGAATCTCCTCAAGATGAAGGAGAACTGTGATTGAGTTTTACACTTCTGCTGTCAGCGCTCCAGCTATTAGGCTGTTTTATGTGGCAGCTTTGCCTCTTTCTCTCCTTGTTCAACTAGATGCATAATCTCAGGAGCAGACTTCATGGTCTGATTCCCAAATGCATTGTGATGCCTTAATGGACAGACCTAAGTTCCAGTGGCAGCAGGAGTTAAGGTGCAACCTCACTAGGGAACAGTTTAGAAGGAACCTCTTAGTTTAAAGAAATCTTTTCATCTCAACCCCCCCCACCCCCCCCAAGGAGTGCTTCTCGGCTGCTTTACAATTAGAGCAGGATTTTTGGATTGCCCTTCAAAAGTACCTAGTTGCCCTTTCTGACTACATAAGACGCCTTAGTGCCTAACTTTGGTACTGTAAATCACCTGATAATTTTTCAGCTCTGCACAGCCTGAGTTAAGTACACAAATAGATGCTCCAGATCATTGCAGAAGATATTAGATAGGACTGTGATTGAATCCCGACCTTAGTATATGATGGAAGAGTGTGATCAGATTCCCATATGTTTTATCTTTGTTAAGAAATATAACAAATATAATAATTTCTTCTTCTCATCCAGCATCTATGTTGTGTCTCAAAAGTTACCTGACACAATGTTAAAGTAATAGGATTAATAGATAAGGTGGTGCGTTGGCACTGAAATGCATTCCCAGCAGCAATGGTTTATGTCATGTTTTTGTCAGAGATTTCATTGAGCAAGCTTCTGAAAGCCTTTGGCAATCTGCTTACTCCTTCTGTTTTCCATCTGCAAAATGATAGTTGTACTTTGTCTGCCTCATGTAGATAGATTGCAGGCAATTTGGGATATGAACTGCCTCCTTCTTCATGCCTAACGTAATGGCGTCCTAATCTTCACTGGGTCTTCAGGTTACATTGTAGTGCTGATAGTAATACAAGTAAACAAATTACAGTGTCATTAGTCCTGGAGTGTATCGACAGAATGGAGGCATTTTCTGCAGTTTTGTTGCCTGTGATTTAAATTTGTCGACTCTGGTAACGGGAATTAGCAGTGCAGAATTTTCAAAGATTTGGGAAGGGGATACAAAACGTGACTTTCAGTTAGAAATGCCCCTCAACAAAACCTTTGCTGAGGTTGCGAATGCTCTGTCTAGAGACTGTGGGGTAAAACCTGCACTCCGGGAAGCTGAGTCCCATTCCTGGCCCTCCTGCTGGATGATGGTGTGCCCTCAAACAAGCTTTGTATATACTGGTCCCAAATCTGCTCTTAATAGTGAGAGGGCAGCTTTTTTTCCAAGTTATTTGGAGCTGACATTCTCTTGTGTTCTCCCATGTAGCTTGTGGCAGAGCTGAATTCTTAACCTCTTCATCTTTCTCCTTGGCCACCTGTAAATCTGTGATAATAATACAATTACCCTTTTTAAGGAACTGCTGATGTTCAGTATTTGTAGTGTGCTGGAACAGACTTGTTTAAGTGAGACTATGAAGGCACATTAAATTATTACTTACTTATTAAACTGGACTTCTATCAGAGAAGATTTTGCATAGACTTTTTAGGCTAGGGCAATGGCCACAAAACTGCACCAAATACATTTTGAATAGAATAGAATAGAATAGAATAGAATAGAATAGAATAGAATAGAATAGAATAGAATAGAATAGAATAGAATAGAATAGAATAGAATAGAATAGAATAGAATAGAATAGAATAGAATAGAATAGAATAGAATAGAATAGAATAGAATAGAATAGAATAGAATAGAATAGAATAGAATAGA